GTTTATATAATTCTTATAAATATTACAAAATGTATTATTTATGTAATGTAGTATTTATAATAATCTACTTGAAAAATTTAATATTTCTCGATCATTTCGTTACGGTACGGGAAGTTCCAGCAATTTGCCTTAAGACACTATGCCATACACCACTAATTCTATTTATATCATTTACAAAACAACATCTGCATATTTAATTAGATTAATTTTACTTACTATATCAAATAAATAAGGAAGTAAAATTACACATAAAAATACATATGAGTAATAGTCGTGCATTTTTATATGTAAAGAAAATTCACCCTAATATTAAATCTCAGTAATGTAATAAATGATGTAGTTATATGCAATTTATGGATTTATCGAAATCGAGGCTCATTAATTCTATCTGTCAGTCGCAGATATTGCATAATACCAGAAGCGTATTTTTGCGTTTTCCTGCATATAATTTTCCTGACATATTGTTTAATTAATCATAAATCATATGCAAACTCTAACTAAGCAAATGACATCCGAGCATCTAAACAAACTTTTCGCGTAACTCTCTTCTGTAAACTTAAGTTTGAACAAATATTTGTGCAAATTACATAATTTTATTACCCGGCAACTAATATTCATATATGCATTTGAAAGTATGTACATGACTTATACAAAGACTGCAATAAAATGCATGTAGATAATATATTTTATAACATTTTTAGTATGTAAAAATTTTTTGTTAACGTCATTTTACCTCGGTTTAAAGTTCAAAAATCTATTTTTATTTTATATAAATAATTAGTTTTTAAACAAATATTTTAGCATATCACTACTGGCTTTGTTCTAATTTTAGCTTTATAATTACCGTGCTTGGACAAAAATATTTTCCACATATGTTGTTTGTATTATTAAAATTTTTAAATAACGGCAAATATGATAATTTAATTTTTTTTTTAGAAAATAATAAACTCTAATATCTCTAAATAATCTCTACATATTGTTTTGCTAACATATAAGTAAAATAAAATTTAGATTAATTTAACAGTATTCAATAATAATATTCAATAACTATTTACTGTATAATATTAATTTTATCAATAATTAATATAATTACCATTCAATATTAATATTATTTGATTACTAATTGCATATTAATATTACTTTAAAAAAAATGCTTTCAAATATTAATACGATAAAATTTATTTAAAAAAAACAAATTTTTGATATAAATATAATAATTTAAATTTTGGATGTAAATTACAAATTCAACGTATTCTATAAAAACTAAAGCATAATACGTGTGTTAATAAGATGAAGAAAATAATAAGATAAAGAAAGAATGTAAGTTAATAAGATAAAGAATCAACGGAAATTAAACCGATTGAAATAAAATACTAATACAAAAAAAACTTTTATAGATAGAGAATAATTCAATAAACATTATATTTGTATTTAGGTAGTATTGAGGAATTTAATGTTGTGTGGATACAATTTTTTGTTCATGATTTCGAGATCGCAGATCAACCGATTTGAATGATTCAAAAAACTTTCTGTTCCTATTGACGTGGAGACTTGATGGTTAGTTTTCGGTAGGTCTAGCCATTTTGAAGATACGAAGCAAAAAGTGCCAAAAATATCAATTTTTTGAGGGGACGTAGCGGCCGATTTGCATAATTCAAAGAATTTCACTAGTTTCATTAGAATTGATTAAATTTTTGCGAAGGCAGATCCAGCAGTTTCCGAGATCCAGTAAAAAATGTTGAAAAAAATGCCATTTGGTAATCAATAATGATCATTAGACATATGCACAACAAATTATTAGATATTTTATAGAGATTTTAATAATAAGTACAAATTTTGTTTTCATTTCTACGTAAGATTTATGTTTAACTACTGGCCTGGGACACGGCACTTACGCGCTTCAAAATTTTGTCTCTAGAACTGCAACGCAGCATGATCGCTCCAAAAAATCCTCAAATACTTTCATAACCTTCAAAAAATGTTAAAAATAACTCGAAATACTAAAAAACAGTATTCTCAAAAAAAATTACCTAAAATTTTGAAAAAATTGGAGCTTTTAAAAATTTCAAATTACAGTATAGGATGTTCCAGAAACTTGCTTTAAGGCACGATGCTATGCACCACTAATTTCAAAATATTTTCTCATTTAGTTTATTTCGAATTTCCCATAGATAAGAGAAGTATAAATAGTTTTCTTCAGTACCATCTTTTACAGATGATCTTTACAATGACCGAAACAAAAGCGCGCACCTTTTGCGCGTGTGCACAAAAGCTTCAACTGCATCGCTTATTTCCCAGAAATAGGAATTAGCATGGAATTCTAACTCGAACTAATTCGCAAATAATCAATGCTGCAGACATAAACCATTAACACTTGACATACTGAACTACACGTGTGAATAAACGCTTCGTTTACGTATTAAAATATTTTTTTGTTTGTTGTTTGAGAAGAATTGAAGACCAAACATGTGTTTTACGCTGATAATATTTGAAATATACACAAACGATATCTTTCCCTAATCCCAGATAACATTTAAAATTATAAAATTGATACCGATTGTACAAAAAATAATCACAAAAATATATTTTGAAATCTCGATTGAATATATGATATGTTAACTATGTCAAATTACTGATTATAGAGATTAATCAGTCAAACTTACTGATAATCCATCTTCTTATCAAATTTAATTGTTGAGCTACATTCAAGAGGAATTTCTTTAATTTTGTCGGCGCCTGCTTCACAAATATCACAAATCTAAACTTTACAATCTTGCAGAAATAAAATAATTGTACAACCCTAGGTACTAAGCTACTTAAATAAATAACTTTTTATTCTGTATATAATCCTTGACCTAACATTTTACAAATAAATAATACAAATTGTATACCAAACTAATCATTTTTCAATCAATTTAAAAGTCTGATATAGTTTAATTGGTAATAAATTATATCTGATCTTAATAAACACAATAAACATAAATAGTCTATTTATTAAACTTCTAAAATAAAACAATGCGGGCGTTTTGTTCACGGTTTTCGATCCTAAGTGTAAAATCGTTTAATAGGATGTTAAATTAATAAAATTAATTAAATATATTAATATCTCTTTTTACGTAATAATTGATTGAAGAGACCCAAGCAAACTACTTGAAAAGATCAGATTCAACGTTGCCCCTATAATTTAAATTTCAATGAAATTAAAAGCTTAGTATTTTATTTATATCTTATTGAACAACAGTCACAGCATTGGAGTCCCATGACTCCAATGCAATATATTTTTTTTCTATATTTGATATATTTTATAGAACTTTTCTACTAGTGATGATAAATTTTTAATTTAAAGTATAGGGCTCTTCCACTTCATTTATTATCATCCACATTTTTTAATGTTAATGGATAACACTTCTTGATAACAGGTTGTCCGAAACGCGAGTTTTAACCTGGAACTTTGCAATTAAGTCAGGCGCTTACCACAACGCTACGAACCGCCACAATTTTTAATGCAATTTGTATTTATTTAAGCACTGCAACTGGTGGCTTTCACCTTGTTTTAATAAAAAGATTTATTCTCATTCATATTTCGAGTACAATAGAGAACACGATGAAAATAGCATTCATTGAAAATTCATGGGTTTTCAAAATATTATATATATTGGGTAGAGCTGCGCTTAAAGGTACACGGCCGATATTTGAAAGAAAAATTAAGAATTTTTTAAGAACTATATTTGAAAGTATGGGGAAAAAGATGAATAACAGACAATTCAGTACCTTGATTCTTACGACGTCGCTATCGGGAGATAAACGGCAATATTTGAAAATCCATAACAAAAGTAATTTCTTTAGTAGTAAGTAGTTTTTCTTAATTGTGAGCGCTGTTCTTTAGTTTACGGGACCTTAATATAATTTTTAGCTATACGCCAATTAATTGTTTTGTAATATGTATTGTTATTTCTAAGTTAAATTTAACAGTTTTTTGTATATAACTTTTGTAAAAGCTTTCATGTGGGTAGAGTAAAAAGCACCAACTGGGCCTTTACCTTACGGACTGGGAACTCTAAATATATATATTCCCGATTATAAAAAATAGATGAAAACACGGTTTCACACTAAATTATATGTATTTAATTAGGTATTACTAAATCTATGTAATATATACGGCACTAAGAAAATAAAGTGATAAAGAATATTTTAATTGATTTTTAATTTTATACCGAAGCGCCCTCGGTAATTTTCAAATTTAGTATTGCGCCCTTAAAGGCAATCAGGTTGCCGACCCCTGGTGTAAACAATAAAAAATAGTAAATAAAAAAGTAAAGTAAAAGAACATTTTTTCGAAAAATAAATTAAATAATTAGTTATTGCAACTCTGCTGATTAATAATTCTGACGAAATACCAGATCAAGGTTATATACACTATACTAATGCAAAATTTAAATTTTATGTGTACATATTTACAGAGATAATACTATATATTATACAGTGTTATCTCTGTAAAAATGTACATATGAAATTTAAATTTTGCATTGTTTGAATAATGTAGCTATTATTTCGTAAAATCCCCTCAAAATTTGAAGTAAGACTTTGGATCATTTTGCCTTCTGGCCATCCTATTTTACACCGTCTATGGGGTAAAAAAGACCAAATGATGAAATTTTGAAAAACAGCAAACAAACATATTTCTAAAATGTTGAATTAGTTGGTTCAGTTTTACTGAACATTGTTAGATAGTTGTTTGTTTGATATGTGTTATTTGTTGTGATATAATTGGTTTGGTTTTCATAATATAATTTCTGAAAGTCAAATTAGACCTTTGAACCCCGCCCTGCCCTTTATATAGATTTATTATAAAAACTCGTAATTATACAATATATAAAATATGGTCTTTTTCACGGGATATTTGAAATTGTCCAAGTCACTGATCGAAATATACTAAATAAAATGCAGCTCTGCAAATGATACTTGGCAATAAATTTCATAGAATCATTTTATTTCCGCAGTCGCTGTTCGAGCTGGAGTTAGCCGGTTGCAACGAAGTAACCGAGGCCGGCCTGTGGGCTTGTTTGACTCCTCGGATCGTGTCTCTGACATTGACCGATTGCATAAATGTGGCCGACGAGGCGGTGGGCGCCGTCGCTCAGCTACTGCCATCCCTTTACGAGTTCTCGTTGCAGGCGTACCACGTAACGGATGCCGCCTTGGGATACTTTTCACCGAAGCAAAGCGCCTCGCTCAGCATTCTGCGGTTGCAGAGTTGCTGGGAACTCACCAACCACGGTGTAGTTAATATAGGTAAGATGAAATTAATTGATTTAAAAGAATAATCATCAAATTTTGAGGACTCGAGTTTCAATATCGGCGTTATTGTAAATCGCCTTAAATTATTGTGATGTAAATTTATAATTAGTGGAAAAAACGGAAATTATGGCACATATGGACAAATTGACAAAGAGACCTTATTTAAACTAGTTGGTATTGGTATTTTGCCTTGAGGCAAGTTACATGAACATCCCGATATGTGTAAATAATCAACTTAATCAATAAAATATAAATTATTTTATGAGTGATTAAAAGTATTCCGAGCGGATTTATTACACATAACTGAAAACGAACGAACACGCCAACTCGTAGTGAAAATGTTCAAAAATCAATCATTTTTATAATTGAACCAGTTTCCGTATGACTTTAATGATTTAGTATGTTCGTTATTAAGACCAAGTACTCTATCTTTATACCAAGTAAATCGTATAATTTTAATTTTAACAAATGTCAAAAAACCTAGTCATTTTCTCAAACTTTGATGAATTTTTAAAATTAAACTACTTGTCGTAAGGCCGTAATATTTCAGTAAGTTCTATAAGACCATGATATATACGGCAAAAAAAAGTTCCATGAAAATCTGTTTACATTTTTTTTTCAACAGTTAATTACAAGAAAACGGCTCGGTAAATTTTCACCAAAGAACTAACCAGTATCATTTCCAACTAATATCTTTCGAACAGTTTTTGAATTTGAATGTTTAGAAAGCCATAAATACAATCGTGTCAGAAATTGACCGTCATTGTCACACTCATGTCGCAGCAATCAGTTTAAACATGTACCTCGCTCTTCAAAGCTTATTTTGAGGGAAGTTTTTTCATGTTTTTGAGGACTTCTTTATTTATTGTTATTTGTAATTATTTCAATTAAAATCAATGAACAATGATGAATCATTGAACTTATGCCAGTACTACTGATTTAGATCAATTTTATTGCAATTATCAGGCGTTTAGAAAAATATTTATTATGTTTTTCCACTTTCCGACAAAATGACATACCTATACATTTGACAAAATGACATAGTATTATTTTGTATGAACTACAAGGTAGTTTATTCGAGGCCAAGAAGTGAGAAAATTGAAACCCTTCAAATGTTTTTTTAACTTTTAATTTTTACCCTAATTACTGTTAATATAGACCAAATGATATACCGGTAAAAAGAAGAGGCTTGCATTTATTGCAAAGATCTCTCTTCACGTTCTAAATCCGGTGAAGGTTGGTTATGATGTATGATTTGCCCCCTTTGGGATTATGCGTCATGTGTTGATATCACACAGTAAACCAAACGATTTTTTTTAAAGACGGTCAAGTTATTTTTTTTACATCAGAACGTACTCACCGTATATGTCACTTTGTCCGTACTATATGGATAAAAGTTTTGCATTTTTTCTTAATAAATATGTTATTATAGTTCCTAATTAATTGAAAAACCATGTAACTGGTAGTCAATGAACCTAAGATTAGTAAAAGTAAGATTAGATTGAGACTGGTTGTAATATCATTAAATAAACAAATATCATTAAAAAACAAAACTCTGTCATTTTGTTTTACTTCTTCTCCAAGAAATTGGATTTATTGAAGATACTGTGCCTAGAGTTTGGTACGATGTATTTTTTTAATTTTAAAATTATAGCACATATGTTTTATCTATAATGATATTTATTGGTCACTAAAATTAATATTATTAAACGGTTTAATAATTTTAACCACACAAGTTGTGAAAATTTGCCTCGCGCATATTTAAAACAAATATTTTCCTAATTAGCATTGGCAATTATAATTGACCAGTTCCAAAAGTTTTATATAATAATTTATTCGAATATTATATGATGCGAAGGAATAAGATTCAAAATTGGATGGGATTTAAAAAGAACAATCAAATGGGATTTAAAAACTTAAAACAGAATTTTATGAATTCTGTTGTTCTGTTGATTTTATAGGTGGCAATCAAAGCAATACTAATCAAGGCAATTCAAAGCAATACTATGAATGATATAAATGTCTGCAATTTTATAATCACAATTTATGTAATATTGATCAATTTTTATGGAAGCAGCAATGCCGGCTATTATTAAAGGCTTTTTTCACTTAGAAACACATTATCATCTATATTTTCAAGTGAAAACCGATGCCATTCCTGCTTGACATCAAACTGTTCGAGGCAGATATAGAACCTGAAACTCTGATTGGAAGTCCCTAGCTGTAGCCACTGAGCTACGAGTAAGCCATATACATGATAAAAAAAAAACCTTTGAAAAAACCTGTGAATAAACTTGTATATTTTTGTTTATCGTCATTCCCATTCTCTAGTTCGATTATATAAGTTGAATAATATTTATTCCGCGCGTGTTTGCTCTGTAATTATTTGTTCGTAGTTATCGAGAGTAATTACATGCGATACAGATAAAAAGCATTTCAGAACAAAACAGACGTAATTTCTATATACGATGTTTACACGACTGTAGATTATATGTGGCTGTATTTTTGGGGTTTCATTTGCTTACGAAAATTTAATTAAGATAGTAGTACTGCGTGTCTGAAATGTGGCATACGTTATATAATTTTTTAAATGGGGTGAAAATGATGAAAAAAGTTTATAAGTCTAGACTTGATATATTAGTATAATAGATTTTCTAATAAAAATAATTTTTTAATAAAAAGATCTCAAGATATTGTAGCGTGAGTAGAATAATAATGCTGCATAACATTTTCATAACAACAGCAAACTTGCATTCAAATTAAAAACTCACAAAAAAGGACATTTAATCAGATAAGAAAATGTGATAACACAAAGAGTTTAGAAAACACAAAAAGTTTAGATTTTGAGTATTTTTCCAGTGTTGCATATTTTGCATTTGTATAATATATCTTATCAAAAAATAAAATTTGTAATTTAATTAGTAAAATTTTGTCATTACATTCAGAATATTTTATAATCGGAATATTCAACAATAATTGAAAATCATAATCTATTTATTTACAATCGTATTTATTTAATGGTCAATGCATGTACATGTATGTCAAAAATAATTTGAAACAAAATTGTAAGCTGTTTGAATAACGTGAATGTGAACTTACATATTATTGGATTTAGATTTAAAATTCGAAAATATTGCTCTAATATATATACGAATCATTCGAATACAGTATAAATATAGTACGAATCATTGAAAAATTATGGCAAATAATTCAACTTCTATACAAGAATTGGACATTGAAAGTCAACTGGTCTTTTTTTGTGTCAATAAGGCGAATGAAACTTTTTCTTATGTTAAAGAATTTATTTTGATTTAATATCCATTTTTATTTGTAACTAATGTGGACTTCCCTCTGGCCTAGAGGTACGAGCTTTAGTCTTGCAACCAGAAAGTTTCAGGTTTGATACCCACTTCCGTCAGCCTAATACTAAGCAGTTATGACATCAATTTTAACTTGTAAATATAGATGAAAACATGTTTGCAAGTAAACATATCTGATTTATGCATCAAATTAAAAACCATCAGTATTACAAATTCTAACAATATCAATATATCTCTAATAGAGATAACCGTTGGGTTGCCTTCTAAAAATCTACGTTGCTGAGAAGTATTATCACAACAGCTTAGAAAACTCTTAACTTCTCATTGCTATCCAAATATAAAAAAATAGATTGATATTGTATATAAGCTATGAAGACAAACACAAGCTAATCCATTCTAATTAGATTTTATCTTACTTGCTTCTGATTTGGGTTTTCTACATTTTTAAATCATCTATTACAGAGGAGGTATTATGTCTTCATTAATAAACAAGAATTTATTTGCAGATATCAAATAAATTTTGTAGACATAATAATGTAAGCAATTTTCGTATCGATTATCTGACTAAAAGATAGGCATAACAAATATCAAATTTCGTATAAAGATACGTACTGTAATTCAAGAAGAAATGCAATACTCTGATGTATTTTGCCAGTTTCAATACAAGTAGAGATGAGAGATCTTTCTGAAAGCAAATATCGATAAGCTCAATAACATTTTGCATGTATTATTAAAAAAAATTAAAGAAAATATGGGATATGAACTAAAACTGAAATTTTAGCATAATACATTACATTATAATCATATATGTAATAATAGTAAGTATTTCATGGCGTAACGGTTGAGCGCTCTGTCTCGTGTGGACGTAGTCGCGTGTTGGAACACATGTTGTGGATAACATGATATCATGCAGAAGTATCGAAAACATATTTTTAATTAAAAATAGCCCATTTCGGACACATCGGTGTAAAATGGCAATAGAAAATCTCTCACAATATTCTGAGTTAGAGTTTAACTCAGCTCACTGACCTGAGGGCAGTACCATTCATTATTATAAATAATCAGACATATATATTATTATTATAAAATTAAAAACTTTTTAGTAGTTCTTCCTCATTCTTGACTGTATTTGATTTTATTTTACTATGTTATCCTTTCTCAATTATATTACAATAATCTACAAATAGTTTCATACAATCATTTTCTTTTGATTAAATCCTTAAACTTTTCCAATTTCCAATTTTACGCCCGTATATATGCATATATATATATATATATATATATACATGTGTGTAAAGTATAATATCTAGTATTATATTTTTGAAAATGAATTTCATCAAGAAAATCTCTCCAATCGCCAAAATTCTATAAATATAATCCGATCAGTATCGTCATAATTAAGTTTCAGAAGAAATTCAATAAATTGTTTCCAAGTTCGAAATAATTGAGAGTATTAACATTTTTGAAACATTACCTTATGCAAATTCTGCGATGCTCAGAGTATCTAATTATAACTTTGATTCTATTACGCTTTGTAACCGTTCTGTAAAGAATTTTCTTTGTACTACAAATGATTTCTTGTTTTATAAGAACATTTATTTGCTAGTATTGAAGTCATATTTTAGATCTAAGCTATTGAAAGAACTGAAAAGCATGATAGTGAGTGACAAAGTC